TGATTGTCAACCTGTCCTGGGAAATTTATCATTAAAGTTTGAAAGAGCGTGCTATTCTGCATCAATGTTGACAGTTCTAAATGTTATAGAGGTAGGACCACTATGTCTGGCTCTGTGTTAAATATCTTATTGGGGCCAGTGCTGCGGCTCAATAGGCTAATCCTCTGCCTGCAGCACAGGCACACCGGGTTCTAGTCCCAATCAGGGCGCTGGATTCTGTTCCGGTTGCCCCTCTTCCAGTCCAGCTCTCTGCTGTGGCCTAGGAGTGCAGTGGAGGATGGCCCAAGTCCTTGGGCCCTGCACCCGCATGGGAGACCAGGAGAAGCACCTGGCTCCTGGCTTCAGATCAGCGTGGTGCGCTGGCAGCAGCGGCCATTGGAGGGTGAACCAACGGTAAAGGAAGAACTTCCTCTCTCTCTCTCTCACTGTCCACTCTGCTTGTCAAAAAAAAAATATCTTATTGGTATAATATCTTAATTTAAGTCCCATCATAAGGATGGCATCTACTTTGTTTACTATTTTACGACAATCGCTCCAGGCTATGTGCGCCCAAAAAAGTAGTCCATGTTGTTGCCAAATAACTCCTAAGGGGGCCTTGAGGGTAGATATGGTTAAGGCAAATAGAGGCACCTGAGCGTCATATCTAAAGGTTTTTAAATTTGACAACTGGGTGTTAACCTTTTCTATAGTGGATTTGGCTGCTGGTATCAATATGATTTTTGAAGAAGGGCTGTTTCCCTTAGTCAGTAAATCATATAGCAGTCTAAGTTCTGCAGGTGTTAGGGGAAGGAAGGGCTTCAGCCAAGTGATTTGGCCACACAGTTGCTGAAGTTCATTAAGTGAGTATTTATGCTTGACTTTTAGGTTTGGGCCCATTGGAGATATATGGGAGGAGATTTGATAACCCAAGAATTGAAAGGGAGGAAAATGTTGTACCTTTTCTGTAGCAATAGACAAACCCAGGAATTGTACATTTCTTACTGTCTCACTTAGACAGGCATTCAGAGTTGCTGCATTCTTGTGAGCAAGTAAGATATCATCCACATAATGTATGACCAAGCACTGATCTTTAAGTGTGCTGGTCACATGAGAAACATATCTTTGGCAAATGGCAGGGCTATTTTTCATGCCTTGTGGGAGTACTGTCCACTGGAATCTTTTTTCAGGGAGCTGAAAATTGGGCTCCTATACAGTAAAGGCAAAGTAAGCCTTATCCTGCTCCACAATGGGAATGGAAAAGAAGCAATGTTTGATATCAATGGTAACTATGTGGTATCCGTTAGGAATGGCCCCTGGATGGGGAATGCCAGCCTGGAATGTTCCCATCTTTTTTATGTTTTTGTTAATGGCTCTTCAAATCCTGTAGAAGCCTGTATTTTCCCTGTTTCTTTAGTATCACAAAAACGGGCGTGTTATGAGGGCTACTGGAGGGTTCTATGTGTCCCTTTTCCAATTGTTCCTGTACCAGTTCTTTAAGGATGCTAAGTTTGGGTTGTATCATTGGCCACTGCTCTACCCAGATGTTTTCTGTTTTTTTTTCCCATTCAATGGGGATTGGGCTTGGCTTTTGTATGAGGTGGGCAGTGGCCCCTAGAATTGGGGGTGAATCTTACTTGTAGGTTCTCCATTAAAGCTGTTGGCTTGTGGAGATTTGTGATCCATAGTAAGGACCGCTTGTATTTGTGAGAGCACATCTCTCCCCCATAAGGTCATGGAAACCTCAGCAATTAGTGGAAAGATGGTTCCTGTATCTCCACTGTCATTTCCCCACATTACAGGCATGATGACCTGATCAGCCAATTTTAATCCTCCAACGCCTTGGAGGTCAGGTTCGGGTGCTGTCTTCCAATGTTGCATTTTTCTTGTGTCCCTAATTTTTAAGACAGTAACATCTGCTCCCGTATCAATTAAACCCACAAAGGCAATGTCATCTAAATATAGGGTCAATTTTGGCCTCAGATTGAAGATGGGCATCGACCAGTTAATGGTGGTGGGACTCCTTCTTACTTGCTGGGCTGAGGGCCACCCCACTGGGAGTTTAAAGGCTTGGTCTTGCAATCTTTTGCCCAACGAAAGCTTTTTTTTACATCTGGGACACAGCATTTTGGACTTGCTCCATCTTTCAGTGTTTGGGTGGATTCGCCATAGGTGTCCTATCTCTTGGCATCCCTAGCAAACTGGAGGGTCATTAGACTTCTTTGTGTTCAATTTGTTAATGGCTGCAGTTAGGCTGCAGTATGGGTGTATCAGCATAGTAGCCTCCTTTGTGGCTACTATCCATTTAGAAATGACTTCATTATGGACTGGGCGATTGCTGCTTTTGCCTCTTTGGTGGCACCTTCCCAAGCTAATTGGTTGACCAAATTGTCTTGATCGGGGCCAGGCAGTAATCTTTTCTCTACTGCCTCCAAGACTCTGGCAAGGAAATCGGGGAACCATTTGCCTGGGTCTTGAACTAGATTTCTAAAGAGCTGACTATATTAGGAGGATTTATATTTTTTAAGGCTTTAAGTGCCAAATCTCTGACCTGATCAAAATAGGCAACTACTCTAATGCGGGCCTGTTCATGAGGATATATGTAGGTGCCATGGCTTGTAAGCATGTCAAAGGTTACTGCTATTCCATAGGCAGCATAATTCCTTGCCACAGTTTCAGCCTCTTCCTGATAGGAAGCTTTCCACTGTAAAGACTGTGGTCTCGACAAACATGCTTTGAGCAGTGCAATCCAGTCAAAATGAGTTTGAAGGCTTGCTGCCCATTGTGTGAGCACTTGTTCAAAGTAGAGAGAGTCAGGACCTGACTCTTGAGAAGCCTTTTTTAGCATGGAAAGGTCATTTATGGGTGTTGGAATCCAGGGCCTGAATTCTGTATCCGCTCCTACATTAACAGCAAACGTGCAGGTGGGATGGGGTCTAGCGGCTGCCCTAAGAGCTTGGGGTGTCCAAGTACTGCCACAAATGTGGGGATCCTCACTGGGTGCAGATGGGATGACCTCACATGAGTTATTGTCTCGAGGTCCTCTAAGTTCATCCCACAGGTATGTGGGGGGTGGCTGACTAGGCATTGCTACATTGTTTGCTACCTTGTTTGCTACCTTGTATGCTACATTGCTATTTTCACTGTCGGAGCTCTTTCTCTCTAAGTCATCAACTGTTGTCTGTGAGACATGGACCTGGAGTGTCAGGCTCTTATCACTCACAGATTCACTATGTTTGTTAATCTGCATGGGATTCTGAGCGGGGGGGTATTTTTCCCATGTCTGAGTGCTTAAGAGTGGCACAGCACACCAACTCTAGCCAAAGGAAAGACACGAACAGCACTGCTGCCATAACAAAGCAAATTCCTAGCACCTCAGCTGTTGATGGCATTTTGCAGGAGGTTTTCCTATGTTAGACAAACAGATAGTCGTGTATCAGATCGTATGTCCTGTGCTTAGAGGGGGACTTCCTTGATTCGTTAGGTCAAGGCCGTATGCCCACATGGTGTCTCTGGAGTGTCACCTCTCTTGAGTGAGGGAAGATGACTTGGTTCCGAATTCTGGGATGATCAGTCCCTTATGTGAATTCGCCGAGCAAACCAAAAGTAAAAGGAGGAGCCAAGAAGTGATGTACGATTCTGGGCAATGTGTGCCCAACTGTTCAAATGAGCATTATGGGTATTATCCATTAAACAATCACATACACAGTCACAGCTGTAAAGGCTGAGCATTCTCAAAGACTCCCAACCTTGAGAAGCAGCCACAAGGCACAGTGACGCTTGCTCAGTGCTGTCCAGGAATCCAGATAGCATGCTGAGACATAATCCTAGAGATGGACATGGAACAACATTCAGTACTGCACAGTCAGAGGAGACCACACCCAAGGTGGGACTCCTGTCCCCTCCCAAGGGCAATGAGGAGCTCCCTCCTATCATGAGTGTCAACAGAGGCTAAGAGTGGAGCCTGAATTTCTACCTGCCCTGGATGTAATGAGGCAGTGCCTCCTCCCACCACAGCTGAAGCAGAATCAGGAAAAAAAAAATAAAAAACAGTCAAATGTAAGATGTAAATCAGATGTAAGTTATCAAAAGAATAAAACATGTATAGGTGTGAATAGAAAATAAATCATTGTGCCAAGAACCAGGAATATATCAAAGGGAGTGAAAAAAGACAATCAACAGACACTAAAAATGAGATGACAGGGATACTGTAACCTTTGGACAAAGATTTTAAAGTGCCTGTGATAAAAATGCTTGAATGAGCACTTGCAAACACACTTGAAACAAATAAAATGGGTAGCTCAACAAACAAACAGAAATTCACAGCAAATAAAAAGATACAAGGAAAAATCAAATGGAAACTTTAGAACTAAAAATACAACAACAAAAACGAAAAGCTCTGAAGGCTTCACTGCAGAATAGAAAGGACAAAAGAAACAATGTATTCACGTGGAGAGAAGGAGCTAGGTCGGGTCTTGCTCAATCTACTCCCACAGCCTTGTCTTTCTTTCATTTGAATTCCACTCTGGGCCACAGGAGCACAGTAGCAAACTGTGAGATGTCCAGCCACACAGCTGACCCTAGACACATGAGGTCCTCAAACATAGGCATCTGACAGGGGGCTGTGTATTAAAGTAACAGGTGATTTCCTTGGGGAGTGTATGGAACAGACAAATTCAGGATGCAATGAAAACTGAGAAATTCCACAGACATCTAATGCAATTTACAGCAGCCAAGGAATCCCACAGTACTGGCATGGTAATGGGCTGAAATGGGACAGTGCAGGCTAAGTGATCATCCCCACATGACTAAATATCACTGTGAATGTCTATGTTTTGGGGGTGGGGAAGCCTGAGACTGGGATCCTATAGCACCTACACTTTCACAGCACCCAGAAAAACACTGGTGTCAAAAAGCCGCTAGCCCATCACAAACTGGTCCAAATCACTTATTAATTATTTCCCCTGAGGCATCCTGGGGCCCTGAAGGCCAGGCCTCCAAGTGCCCCTCCTGGGACTTGACCAATGGTCGGCCCTCGAGGGTACCCACCCAAGAGAGCACAGATTTCTAAAGACCAGGGTACCATAGCACACAAAGGAAATGTGACTTTCACACAACAACTTTTGCACCCCATGCCCAGGTAAGAGGGCAGAGCTGGAGTTATACCTGGAGATTGACTGTGAAAAAGGAACCAGGCCAGAGCACTGGTCTGCAGAAATAGAACTCCTCACGCTAGTCCCAGGCTTTCTGGGGCTACTGCCCTGCCTGCCTCCACCTACCCCAAATGGAGAACAGATCTCTACCATTTACTCCAAGACACAGGCTCCACACCAGGCATGCAAAGGAGCTGTGGCTCCACATGGCTTCATGGGGTACTGAGCCTTGCATACTCACAGCACGAGTGCGGAGAGCACCTGATGCAGACTGGATGAGTCTGGACAGGGCCAGGTCCCTGACAGGCAGAGGCCTGGGCCCTGGGAAGGGGATCCCCTTGGAAGTAATTGCTCCGGTTCTGCGGATCCCTCTTGGGTGATCGCAGTGGAATTGAAGCCTGGAGCTGCAGGGACTCCATCCAAGCCTGAGGACACTCTCTGGAGCCAGACACAGGGTGGGGTCTGCAGTCCCCACTTCCATGTCTCTGTGGCCAAGGCTGTGGGATGGGGTGAGTTTGCAGGCTTAGCTTCATTGCTGCTCTGTGTTTTGGAGCAGGGTGTGGAGGACTCCACAGAACCAGACCTTTCCCTCCAAGGGCACGGGCCTCCCCACCAAGCCAGTCCGTGGCCCACTGAACTAGAGTCTCCCTTGGTGTGCAGGGCACTGCCAGGCTGGGCTCTGAGAGGGGTGGGTGTGGATGTCAAGCACCCTGGGGCAGCAGGACCCCACTGGCCCTTGAGTTACCATGGATGCTCATGCTCTACAAAGCAGTCCCTGGGGGGATGGTTGGGAAAAGCAGGGCAGGCCAGGCCCTTTCTACTCTTGCTGCCTGGACCCAGCATGGGGAGAGGCAGCCTGGTCAGGGAGAGGAGTTGACGACCCCGACGGCCCAGTTATTTACCTCCAAGTCCCATGTCCTTCTACCGGCCAGGGGAGCACAGCAGCCACCCTAGAGCCTAGCCCAGATAAAGAGTGCGTCCAGGATGGGGTGCAGGAGAGCAGGCCCCTTGCTCCCTGCCATTCCCCTGCCTCCTCAGGGCACTGTCCCTGCGAGCTTCCAGCCTCTGTGCTGGATGACACAGGCCTGAACCCCCTCCCTCCTCTGACATTTCTTCTCTCTGAAACAGGCACGAAGGGGGTACCCAGTTCCCTGCCTAGCCCTGAGGCAGAGAACAGTAGGGTAGGCTAGACAACTGTGTCCCCTACCCCCAAGGGGCCTTCTGCCCTGGCACAGCCACAGAACCTGTGCCCTGCCCATAGTAAGGGAGCCTAGACATTGTGGTTGTTGTGGAAGCAATGACATCATTGAACCTTGTGTCCCCGCTTTGGCCCAGCTCTCTGCTATGGCTTGGGAAAGCAGTAAGAAGATGGGCCAAGTCTTTGAGCCTCTGCACCCACGTGGGAAACCTGGAAGAATTTCCTTGCTCCTGGCTTCAGATTGGCACAGCTCTAGTCATTGCAGCCAATTGGGGAGTGAACCATTGGATGAAAGACCTCTCTCTCTCTCTCTCTCTCTCTCTCTCTATCTGCTTTTCCTCTCTGTATAACTCTCACTTTCAAATAAAATAAATAAATATAAATGACCTAAAAGAAAGCTCTCTGTGAGTGAAATCCCAGTGGAAAGAAGGGGCCATCAAAGAAGGAAGTACTTTTCTCTGAAGGGAGGAAAGAACTTCAACTTTGATTATGGTGTTGTCTAAATAAGGTTGGAGTTTGTGAACACAAAAGGCTTCCATAGCCTTGGCAGCCCATGACAAGAGCCTCAGGTGATTACTGATGTCATAAATAAGAGTGTCAACTCTTAAATCAACAGCAGGAATCACTGTGCACTTGTTCCCCATGTAGTAACTCTGTCCTTAATGTGTTGTGCTTTGAGAATTAACAGTAAAACTTGTCTTCATACAGTACATTATACTTTGTATGTCTGTGTGGGTGCAAACTGTTGAAATCTTTCCTGAGTATAGAGTTGATCTTCTGTATATGAAGATAATTAAAAATGAATCTTGGTGAAGATTGGGATGGGATAGGGAGTAGGAGATGGGATGGTTTGCGGGTGGGAAGGTGGTTATGGGGGGAAGAACTGCTATAATCCAATAGTTGTACTATCAAAATTTATATTTATTACATAAAAGTTTTTTAAAAAATATTTATTTTGTTTATTTGAAAGACAGTTACAGAGAGAGACAGAGAAAGAGAGAGAGGTCTTCCATCCTCTGGTTCACTCCCCAAATGTCCACAATTGTCAGAGATGCGTTTATCCACAGTCAGGAGCCAGGAGCCTCCTTCAGGTCTCCCCTGTGGGTGCAGGGGCTCAAGGAATTGGGCCATCTTCTACTGCTTTCCCAGGCCATAGCAGAGTGCTGGATTGGAAGTAGAGCAGCCAGGACTAGAACTGGTGGCCAAATGGAATGCTGGTGCTTCAGGCCATGGCTTTAACCCATAGTGCCACAGTGCCAGCCCCTAAATAAAAGTTTTCAATTAAAAAAAAATTTTAAGAAATTAAGAATTAAATGTAAAAAAGTAATGGCCAGAATCAGGGCTAAGTGGGAAGGGGATCCACCCGTTGCCCTGTCCACCTGCCTGCCCAACAAGGAAGCACTCTTGCAGATACTCAAGTGACACAGACACCAAGAGAAGAGCAGAAGCAAAGCAGAACAACAGGGAACTTCATAAGAATCCAGCTAGCCTGGTCTTCAAATCTCAAGGTCTCCCTGCCCCTCCCAGGATTAGCCAGTGCTAAGGCTGCAGCCCCACAGCCTTACAGTGAACAGTGATCTGTTCACTGTTCACTCTCCAAATTGCCCCAATGGCCATGGCTGGGCCAGGCAGATGACAGGAGCCTGGAATTCCATCTGGTTCTCCCATTGTGGGAAGCAGGGGCCCAAGTACTTGAGCCATCTTCTGCTGCCTTCCCAGGCACATGAGCAGGGGGCTGGATTGGAAGTGGGGAAGCCAGGACTCAAACTGGTACCCATATTGGATGCCAGTGTCACAGGCAGAAGCTTAACCTGCTGTGCTACAGTGCTGCCTCTGGACCACACATCGTTAGAAAAGTCCCACCTATCTCATGTCTCCCAGCTTTTGATGGATATTAAATGGTAAAGAGTGCCAGACTGCACTCCCCAGCAGAGCAATGGACAGCCAGTATGTGCTGCTGTGCAGTGGGAAGACATGGCCTTTAGCTGTCACTGAACACAGTGGGGGTGGGAAAGGGCTGAGACCACTCCCTCAATTACCATTTCAGAGCCCATGGACAGCTGCCTGGCTAGACAGCTGCTACCTTGTCTATCTCAACAGGAGGACACCAGTGACTAAGATCAATCAGTCAATAGAGAAGCAGTGGCATAAGCTTCTAATTGAAATATGCTGTACAAATATAACTGTGGTCTGAAGAACCACTGAAAAGACCTGGAAATGCCCAGAACAAAGTTTGAGCAATCTAACTTTTGAATTGATACACATTTATCTTTGATTAGAATTTTTAAATTAAACAAAAAAGAAATAGCTGTCCAGCACTTTCCAGTGTTGCCAGCAGTCAAGGAAGGACTTGAGCTGTCCCAGTTAATTAACCAGGGGTCACTGCTCAAGGTAAACAACACTTAGTGGGCTGCTAGGGAAAGAGCCACAGCACAGGTTTAAAGGGAGCAGGACCTCCAACCGAGTAGGAACTGAGAGCACCCATTGCTCTGTATCTGCGACCTGTCCTCTGTGCACGAGAAACAACTCAGTTCAACACAGAGCACCCCGGCTGCACCTTCACTATCCTGGGAGAGTCCACGGGCTTCTCCAGTGATCTAGAGGGAAGGCAGACATTGCGTTCTTTCATTCATTCCTCAACACTTCCACAGCAAGGGCCTCTGTGCGATGACAGGAGACCCAGAGTGGGAGTGGGGGTCCAGCTCAGTGTGGGGCCAGCACCCCAACATGCACGAGGGGACTCTGGAAGCACGTGGAAAGTTGCATGAAAAGGCAAGTGTATTAATGTAAAGGATTTTGGAAATCCATGCAGTCTTTTTTTTTTTTAGCAATCCTAGAAATATTCTTATTAGTATAATCCTTCATTATAATGAATTTATATATGGAGAAAACGTGCATGTTTTTCAAAAATAAATTCTCTCATTCATAAAATTGCCTTTCTTTCCTCAATTAAAAAGCCACTGAGGGGGCAGCACTGTGGATCAGTAGGTTAATGCCCTGGCCTGAAGCGCCAGCATCCCATATGGGTGCCGGTTCTAGTCCCGGCTGCTTCTCTTCTTATCCAGCTCTCTGCTATGGCCTGGGAAAGGGGAAGATGGCTCAAGTCCTTGGGCCCTGCACCTGCGTGGGAGACCCAGAAGAAGCTCCTGGATCTGGCTTCAGATTGGCGCAGCTCCGGGTTTGGAGGCCAACTGGGGAGTGAACCATCGGATGGAAGACCTCTCTCTCTCTCTCTGCCCCTCTTCTCTCTGTGTAACTCTGACTTTCAAATACATAAATAAATCTTTTTAGAAAAAAACACTCATTTTACCAGTCTATGTTTTACTAACAATACCTTTCTTTTTGGGTTATTTTTTCTACGTCCAATGTTTAGAGAACATGACAGATCCAGCTTCTGCAAAATATAATGAGTTCATGTGTTCCTAATGTCATCCACCAAAGTCCTTGCTAAGTTATTTACTGTATATTTCAAATCATCATTGAATTATTTTTATATGATTTCTAAAACATCTTGTAGCAGATAGCCCCAAAGTCATATAAAATATTAAGTAATACAGTAACAGTAGCTTTGGTCTTTTTTTGTTTGTTTTTGTTTTGTTTTGTTTTGTTTTTGACAGGAAGAGTGGACAGTGAGAAAGACAGAGAGGTCTTCCTTTACCGTTGGTTCACCCTCCAATGGCCGCCGTGGCTGGCACGCTTTGGCCAGCGCACCACGCTGATCCGAAGCCAGGAGCCAGGTGCTTCTCCTGGTATCCCATGGGGTGCAGGGCCCAAGCACTTGGGCCATCCTCCACTGCACTCCCTGGCCACAGCAGAGAGCTGGCCTGGAAGAGGGGCAACTGGGACAGAATCCGGTGCCCCGACCGGGACTAGAACCCGGTGTGCCGGTGCCACAAGGCGGAGGATTAGCCTAGTGAGCCGCGGTGCCAGCCAATTTTGGTCTTAATTAAACTTTATAAAAACCATTCTACAAATGTCTCTCCATTTAACATTAACTTGAAACATACAAAAAATCATATATACATGAAACATACTATGTGTAAAATGTTTTCTGGTACTTTAAAAGATTAATTCTTCCAACACCTTCCATATTGACATGGAATTAAAACTATTAACCAAAACACCAAATTAATATCAAATAATTCTTTAAATACTGATAAAGTCACAATTGAAACCTGATATGTTTTCCTCTCTACAACTCTGCTCAAAGGAAAACACTGAACATAAAGTCCTGGCCCTCCTCTTCGCTTCTCTCTCCTCCCACAAAGGGAAAGGCTAGTTCTCTTATTTTTAGCCCAGCGGTGGCAGCAGCAGCAGAGACATCACTTAGGAACTTGCTGGTCTTGGTCTCCACCTGATGTGCTGACCTGAGTCCAGCAATCTGTGTTTCTCCAGGTCCTGCGAGACAGCAGACCTCACTAAAGTGGAAGAACAGGTGTCCCAGCCTGGAGGCTTCAGGGACTCTGAGCCAGAGGAGCCAGCTCCTTGCTGCTCTGAAGCCGTCCGTCCGTGGAGAAGGCACACACACCTGCACCAGGTCCCGGAACCTGCACCAGTTCTCGGGCCTGTTGCCTCTCAGCCAGGTCAAGGTCGCCACACTGGCCTTTATTACGGCGCTCCTAGGACACACCTGCCCCCCTCCCAGGGCCGGGGAGCCCCCTTTCTGAAAAGGTTCATGTGGACATTTAGAGCATTTTCCGCAGGCCACACAGATTGTCAACTTGACGGAATTCTGAGCCCCAGCTGCGGCTGCCTGGGCAGCACCAGGCCACAGGATTTCAGGGGCCTCAGACAGCTGCGGGCCCTCCTTCCCGACCTAAGATCACTTCCTTTAGAAGTCACATCTAGCTGTCTGGCAGGTCCCTCTCTTCTAGGCACACATACTAACAAATATAAACCCACTTATTTTCAGTGATAAACCCAAGACCTATGGTTACTACCCTGGCCTCAAAGACTTGTGGGGCGTCCCTCAGTCCAGTTATAAGGAGAGGTCACTGCCATGCTGCTTTCCCGGCATCCTTTAGGGGACTCATAATGACCAGAGGTGGAGGGATGGCTGGTGGGCAGGTACTCGATTATGCAAAGTAATCAACTGCTCCAGGGCATTCAAACCCCTGGTTCTTGTGGGGAGGCTTCCTGAAAGGACACCTCCAGAGAGGTGAAGACCACAGACCACCTGGGGAAGCCACACAGGCACCCCTGGCAGGCACACATCTGCAGCCCAGAGCTGTGCAGACAGCTCCAGGAATGTCTCCAGCAAGCAGAGTACCCTGGACTCCTGCACCACGTCCCGCCCAGCGCCTGCTTCCCTGCCCTCTCCCGCCTTCCTGCTCCAGCTCCTGTCCCAAGCCAAGAGTCTTCTCAGGTCTCTGAGCTGGGAATACCAAGAGAGAGAGGTGGCCAGCCGCTGCTCTCAGGACTGGAAACTGGTGAGCGCGCACACCTGCACTGCCCCCGCCGATCCCAAGCACGCCTCAGCGCCCAGGACTTGGCTGACCTCCTAGGCCAGTCTGGCCCTCGCGCCACCTGCGGTACTGGCCGCCAGGCGTGCGCTGGCCAACCCTTCCCTGCAGCCCCACCCCGACTGCCTTCCTTTACTTTTCTATGGCCGCGCGTCTCCACAGCGCTAAACACCGGACGTCGTCCACTCTTCCCTCGCGCCGGAACACGAGCTACAGAACCGGAGGACCCCGCCCCGTGGGCCTCGCGGCTGCCCCGCCCCTCGCGTGGGGTCCTCACCTGTCCATCACGACGAAACCGCTTCCCGCAGATGGCGCGCCCAGTCCTTCTCACACAAGGAGCCGCAGCGCTCAGTCCTCACGAGCGCTCCCGCCGGATTCCGTCCATTCTCACCTGTTTCTCCCCTGTCCTCACGCAGCTCCGCGCTCAGCCTCTTCAAGGCAGCACCGCTTCCAACCGCCAGGCCGCGAGGAGCCGCCAACGCAGAGCGCGCGACTGGCCACGCCCCTCGCCGCGGGTGGTGCGCGCGCCGGGATTCTCAGGGGCGCGGGTTTCGGCGCGCCGGGGGCCCGGCTCTGTAGAGCTGGTGAAGCCCGGAATCCCCAGGTCTGACGGTCGGAGGCTGTGGGCTGCGCCGTGACTGGAACCCTGGGCCTGGCGCCGTCCTTCACTCCTCCGGCCAGGGCACAGATGCGCGACAGACGTCCGCCCCTGAGCACGACAGTCCCCTCACTGGATCCGCCCCGGAGCGCCCAGCGTGGAGGCCGAGCCTCGGGGACTCTGAGTTGGGCCCCCGGCCTCTAGAGCGGCGGTGCGTGAGGCGCTCGGGCCCGCGCTGCTCGCCGCGGCCGCGGCCGGGTGGTGCGGGAGCCCCCAGTCGCGAGGGGAGGCGCTGCCGAGGGGCCGGGTCCGCGGCGGCGTCCGGACCCGCGGAGCTGCAGCCCAGCCCCGGGCCGAGCGCGCTCGCAGACTCCAGAGCGCCACCCAGCACCTGCACCCCGGCGGGCGCGGGTTCTCCCGAGTCCCGCGGGGCGCGAGCTCGGCCGCCCTCAGCCTTTCTGAGCGCCTGCTTCTGGAAGCGCCGGCGGAGAGTGGTTCGTGCGGCGCCCGCGGAGCGGTCTGAGCGGCCAGCGTGGCTGCCCTGCCAGGGCCGGGACGCGGGGAGAGCCGTGGGGCCCCGAGGAGACTTCGCGGAGAGGAGCCGGTTCCCCAGCCCTGTGACAGCTGGCAGCGGAGATTACAGAAGGTGACTTGGTCAGTGTTAGGTGTCTGCTTTCAACTGCCACCGGGTGGGGTGGTGAGGGGCAAGGGACAGACGCGAAGGCACTCGAAAAAGTTCAGGGAAAAGGAAATGAAAGATGTTCATTTTGGTGCAGACATGTTTGTTCATGGTACACCTTTTCTGTGAACTTTTTGAAGACTCCTCCAACTCTCCAGAGTCTTGGACTGTGGCGCACCGAAATCCTGAAAGGGCCTACACAGTCAGTTTTACCTTGACAGTTCGAGTGACTGGTGTGTTCCAGCCTGGACATCTGAGTCTGTTTTAGCATCACACTAATGGCTTGAAGTGGCTGTGGTCAGGTAAGTCGACACCGCCGGAGGATAAACTAGGTTTGACCCTATTGCTTCAAGCTCCTTCCCTCTGCCTTCTCCACACATTCCTGGGGTAGGATCCCCGGGATGAAGAAGCACCATTGGAGGAATAGAAGGTGAGGGGACAGGAAGGGTAGCCATGATCTGTTGGCAGAAGAATAACTGTTACAAGCTTTAGGTTTTTTTTTTTTTAAGGATTTATTTTTCTAATCTACTTAAAAGACAGTTACAGAGTGAGGTAGAGCCAGAGTGAGGTCTTCCATTCCGCTGGTTCACTCCCGAAATGACTTCAATAGCCAGAGCTGAGCCGATCAGGAGCCAGGAGCTTCTTCTGCGTGTCCTATGTGCATGCAGGGGCCCAAGGACTTGGGCCCTCTTCTACTGCTTTCCCAGGCCATAGCAGAGAGCTGGATCAGAAGAGGAGCAGCTGGAACTCAAACCGGTACCCATATGGGATGCTGGCTCTGCGGGGCTTTAACCCGCTGTACCAGAGCACCAGAACTGTAAGGTATTTTCAATAATAAAATATTATTATCTTTAAATATTTATTTTTATTTATGACTTAAAAGGCAGAGCTGCAGAGAGAGAGAGAGATACCTTCCATCCACTGTTTTCACTCTTCAGATGGCCTTAGTCCCAGGACTGGGCCAGGCCAAAGCTAGGAGCTGGAAGTTTCATCTAAGTCTCCCACTTAGGTGCAAGGGCCCAAGTACTTGGCCATCTTCGCTGCTTTATAAGGCACATTAGCAGGAAGCTGGATTCAAACCATCACCCATATGGGTGGGATACCAGTGTTGCAGGAAGCAGATTAACCCACTACAACCACAACACCAGCCCCTGAAGCATTATTATATTAGCATCTTTGTAAAATATTTTACCACAATACTTTTCCATTGAAATATATTTCTATACTCTGTAATTTCCATTGTGATTTAAAACAAATAACTTTACTTCTTACATATAAAGATATTTTGCTTTAGATGCTAATTATTCTCGCATAAATGTAACATAAGATCTGCTATAGAGCTGCAGTTCAGACAGCCACATATCTGCCCTGGATTCAATTCTAAACAATGCCATCATGGACTAGTCCACTAGAGGTCACTGAAGCTAAGGTTTCCCCTTCAATAGCCCCAACTCCCTTCACCTTTTTATATATATATATATAATTTATTTTGTTTGAGGAGTACAACTTCATGCATTTAATATATACAGATTTGGGAACATGATGTTTTTCCCCCTACCTCCCTATCACTCATACTTCCTCTTCGTATTCTTATTTTTCTTTTTTTTACAGAGATCAATTTTCAGTTGATTTTTATACTCATAAGATTAGCCCTACACCAAGTAGGGGGTTCACTGATTAATGTGAAGGGAAAGAAAAAAGAAGTAAAGGACAAAAGCAAGCAAACAAACAAGGAAAATATTGTTCCCCTACAGTCAAGGAGTTGGCTGTTCAAAATCATTGGATCTCAAATTGTCAGTTTTGCTCCTATAGATTCCATTTTGACTATTCAATTAATTACCACAGATCAGAGAGACCATCTCATATTTGTCCTTTTGTGACTGACTTATTTTCCTAAGTATAGTGGTTTCCAGTTGCATCTGGGCAAGTATCTGGTGTAGCACCCAGGTTGGGTGTACTAGTTTTCCTCTGGTTAACTGGATGCAGAACAATGACCACTCTGTTGGTGCAACCACACTTTCTCTTCCAGGCTAAGGCGTCCTCAGGTGTTAGCCCTCAATGTGTTTAACATGCATCCACAATGACACACATATGATCTGCCCAGCCCCTATTATATGCACTATTCTCTTTCCTATGAGGTGTTGTAGGCCACTAAGGAGCTCTGAGAGTAGAATGTAGCTCTCTGTGATTGCCCAAAATGCAGCCACACCCTATCTCCTTTCACAGGATCACCATTTTCTTCTCAGTCTCAGCACCCAAGGCTCTCAGGGCCAAGGAGTGCAGGTGAAGCCACTCCACTCAGCCCATCCTGACAGCAGCCCACTGAAACGAGTCCTGTCCTCCCAACCAGATTTGATGCCAGTGAGATACCGGGGTTTTCTCTCTGCCAAGATCTCTGGGTCACAGGCGTGCACTGTACCCACCAGCCACAGACAGACTTGCTCATTTCACAACTGTGCTGGGTGCTTAAGAGGGCCCCGCAGGCTGTGCTTCCCTTCCAAGGGATGGTTCCTCCTCAGTCTTGATGGCGGGTGAGTGCAGCTGGCAGGCAATGGTGGCCACCTCAGAGGGTTGCTCCTGTGCTGCTATGTGTGCCCCTGCTGACTGGGTGGAGGGCAACTCTAAGAAATGCTGGGTGCTGCACACAATCTGAGGTGGCCACTAAGTGCCTACGTCCAAAAAGGGTGCTGGCCTCCCAACATGGTTGCAGGTTGCTGTTGCAGGAGGGAGGAGGGGACAAACAGAGAAGCCCTACTTTTTTTCCTTTACTCCCCTCTCTGGGCGAGCAGTCACCCTGCTGTTCCGAGGGATCTCCAGTGGATGAAGGGGTACAGTTCACCAGGCTTTGCCTCTCAGCATGGGCCCTGGAGGCCGATCTCTCCTGGTTTACCAGGGCAGGTGGGCATCCACTACCCTGATCCAAGTTGCTGGGTACTCCATCATCTCCTATTAAATGCACTTTTAGTTGGAAGCATTTCCACTGAGATCTGGTACCAGACAGGGATGCCCACTCTCACCACTGCTATTCAATATAGTTCTGGAAGTTTTAGCCAGAGCCATCAGGCAAGAAAAAGAAATTAAAGGGATACAAATTGGGAAGGAAGAAATCAAACTATCCTTCTTTGCAGATGATATGATTCTTTATTTAGGGGATCCAAAGTACTCTACTAAGAGACTATTGGAACTCATAGAAGAGTTTGGCAAAGTAGCAGGATATAAAATGAATGCACAAAAATCAACCGTCTTTGTATACACAAGCAATGCCATGGCTGAGAAAGAACTGCTAAGATCAATCCCATTCACAATAGCTACAAAAACAATCAAATACCTTGGAATAAACTTAACCAAGGATGTTAAAGATCTCTACTAATGAGCATTACAACATCTTAAAGAAAGAAATTGAAGAGGATACCAAAAATGCAAAAATCTTCCATGCTCATGGATTGGAAGAGTCAATATCATCAAAATGTCCATTATTCCAAAAGCAATTTATAGATTCAATGCGATACCAATCAAAATACCAAAGACATTCTTCTCAGATCTGGAAAAAAAATGATGCTGAAATTCATATAGAGACACAGGAGACCTTGAATAGTTAAAGCAAACTTGTACAACACAAACAAAGCCAGAGGCCTCACAATACCCGATTTCAGGACATACTACAGGGCAGTTGTTATCAAAACAGCATGGCACTGGTAATGAAACAGATGGATAGATCAATGGAACAGAATAGAAACACCAGAAATCAACCCAAACATCTAATCCAGCTTATATTTGAGCAAGGCTCTAAAACCAATTCTTGGAGCAAGGACAGTCTATTCAACAAATGGTGCTGGGAAAACTGGATTTCCTCATGCAGAAGCATGAAGCAAGACCCCTACCATACACCTTACACAAAAATCCACTCAACATGGATTAAAGACCTAAATCTACAACCTGACACCATCAAATTATTAGAGAACATTGAGGAAACCCTGCAAGATATTGGCACTGGCAAAGACTTCTTGGAAAAGACCCCAGAAGCACAGGCAGTCAAAGCCAAAATTAACATTTGGGATTGCATCAAATTGAGAAGGTTCTGTACTGCAAAAGAAACAGGAAAGTGAAGAGGCAACCAACAGAATGGGAAAAAATATTTGCAAACTATGCAACTGATAAAGAATTAATAACCAGAATCTACAAGGAGATCAAGAAACTCCACAACATCAAAATAAACAACCCAAGGACCTCAATAGACATTTTTCAAAAGAGGAAATCCAAAGGACCAACAGACACATGAAAAAATGTTCAGCATCAGTAGCCATCAGGGAAATGCAAATCAAAGCCACAATAAGGTTTGACCCCACCCCGGTTAGAATGGCTCACATACAGAAATCTACCAACAAGAGATGCTGGTGAGGATGTGGGGAAAAAGGGACACTAATCCACTGTTGGTGAGAATGTAAACTTGTAAAGCCACTATGGAAGTCAGTCTGGCGATTCCTCAGAAACCTGAATATAACCCTACCATACAACCCAGCCTTCCCACTCCTTGTAATTTACCCAAAGGAAATTAAATTGGCAAACAAAAAAGCAGTCTGCACCTTAATGTTTATTGCAGCTCAATTCACAATAGCTAAGACCTGGAATCAACCTAAATGCCCATTAACAGAAGACTGGATACAGAAATTATGGGACATGTACTCTATAGAATACTATACAGCAAAAAAAAACAATGAAATCTGGACATTTGCAACAAAATGGAGGAATCTAGAAAACATCATGCTGAGTGAAATAAGCCAGTCCCAGATGGACAAATATCATATGTTCTCCCTGATCGGTGACAACTAACTGTGCAACTAAAAGGAAACCTGTTGAAGTGAAATGGACACTATGAGAAACAATGACTTGACTATCCCTTGTCCTGACTGTCGAGGAACAACTTCCTACTTTATACCTTTTAGTATTTTTTTGGTACTACTTAATACCATTGGTTGAACTCTTTAATTAACACACAATTTTTCTTAGGTGTTTAAATTTAACTGAAAAGTGATCCCAGTTATATATAAGAGTGCTGGCGCCGCAGCTCACTAGCCTAATCCTCTGCCTTGCGGCACCAGCACACTGGGTTCTAGTCCAGGTAGGGGTGCCGGATTCTGTCCCGGTTGCCCCTCTTCCAGGCCAGCTCTCTGCTATGTCCCAGGATGGCAGTGGAGGATGGCCCAAGTGCTTGGGCCCTACACCCCATGGGAGACCAGGATAAGTACCTGGCTCCTGCCATCGGATCAGCATGGTGCGCTGGTGCAGCGCACCAGCTGCGGCAGCCATTGGAGGGTGAACCAACAGCAAAAGGAAGACATTTCCCTCTGTCTCTCTCTCTCTCACTGTCCACTCTGCCTGTCAAAAAAATAAAATAAAATAAAAATAAATAAATATAACAGTGGGAATAAGAGAGAGAGAGGAGATATACAGTTCAGCACATGTTCAATCGGACTCACCCCTAAGGGTAGAGTTAGAAACATGCCAGGGGATTCCAATTCAATCCCATCAAGGTGACATGTATCATTGCCATCTCTCTAGTCAAAGTGATCAGTTTCAATTCGTAATTGGTCATAATGATAGGACTAACTGTCAAAGGGGTCACATAAACAAGACAAGTGTGCTAATACTAACTGATAGAATTAAAATGAGAGAACGATCCAACAAAGGAGGCGGGATACACAGCAGACTCATAAAATGGCAGATGTCCTAAAGAGTGCTCTGGACTCAGAATCGGTCCTTAAGGTATTCAAATCTGGCTAAAAAGCCTGTGGGAGTATTTCAGTCATGGAAAGCCAAGACACTGTGGCAGAAAAATGACCTAAATGAACAATCTCTGTGAGTGAGATCCCAGCGGAAAGAAGAGGCCACCGTCGAAGGTGGTACCTTTCTCTGAAGGGAGGAGAGAACTTCCACTTTGACTAAGTGGAAGTTAGTCAAACTTGGCACCTGCTCTATCATCCTACCCTGAGAAACTTCCCATAGCCAAATTCACTACTGTTTTATACCCCCACTAGCTCCAGTCAGCCACTGAAACGGCCCACAGCCTGTGTGCAGTCATGCCATTCCTGATTACCATTGTTCCTCATTCCTACCCACTTCTGAGCAAGCACTGCTGTGGTCTCCCATTTTGAGTGCTGGTTAGTCAATGATGGGTAAGATCCCCTGGGGGACAACCTAAGACAGGCACAGCCGCATATTGAGACCACATGGAACTGGGGTCAACAATGGTATTGCCAAGAATCATGCCTCCCATTGCTCAAAAATAAATGAAAAGTGGGAAATATGGTGGAATGAGAAGTCCATGCCAAGATGGGTGCTGGCAAGGGAGCGTCAGCTACTCAGGAGTGGCTTTGCAAACCCCCTGGGAAACCACCTGGAAACAGAGCCTGCCTGGCAACAGGCTGTGATTGGATGGCTTCAGATACTGCCTGGCAACAGGCTGTGAGTGGTTAGGGCATAAACCTCCCCTTGACCAGAGTGGCTGCCTTGGCTATTTAAGCTGCTGTACCAACTGAAATAAATGAGTCTGCAGGCTGCTTGCTTTCACCTGACTCCCCGGGGTCAGTGTGGTGACTCCACTCTCCTCCTCTCAGAAGGAATCCATAACAATTGAAAAATGGGCAAAGTATTTGAATAGGATATTCACGGGAAATGAAATGCAGATGGCTCTGATGTCTATGAAAGATACTTAGCCTCACCCACAACAAAGCAATACAAACTAAAACAAGGAGATTCCACATTTGATCTATTGTATTGGCAGTGAACAAAAAGTGTTATACCCCATGCTAGTCTTTTTAAACATGTTTGTTCATTGGGGTGGACATTCGACACAGTGGTTCAGGTGACACTTGGGAAGCTCGCCATCATGTGTTGGGGTTCTTGGGTTCCATGCCTGCTTCCTGTGCCCAGTGCAACTTCTTGCTGATGCACACCCTAGGAGGCAGAGGTGATGGCTCAAATACCACCCACTTGGGAAATGTGAATTGAGTTCCTGGCTCCTGGTTCCAGCTTGGCCCAGCCCAACTGTTGAAGGTATTTGGGAGAGAAACTCACTGGGTGGGTGAGAGATTCTCTCTCTCTGTCTCTCTGCCTTTCAAGTAGGTAAAATGAACAATTTGTTAAAAAATTAACTTCTCTTTTTAAAAATGCTCATTTCAAAGCAGAAAAAGAGAGACAGAGCAGGAACTCCCATTTGCTGATTATTCGCTCAAATACCTGCCACACTGAGGGGGTGGTCCATGTGCTGAACTGTGAGCCGGAACTCAACCAGGACTCCCATGTGGTTGACAGGAACCCAGTCACTTGGCTGTACCTCTGCCTCCCTGGATCTGCATTAGTAGGAATCTGGAATCAGGATGGGGAGCCGGATCCAGGGATTCAACACAGTTACTCTGATATAGGACATAAGTATGCTAACAGGCTGTCTTACCTGATAGGCCATCCATCAGTGTCCATCTCCATTTTTAAAGATCATACATCAACTGCGGTAGTTGATTTGGTCTAGCCGGTTAAGTCACCCATTAAGCTAGTGGCTAGGATGCCCATTTCCATACCAAAGTGTCAGGGTTTGATACCTACTCTGCTTCCTGATTTCAGGTTCCTGTTAATGCAGACCCTGGGAGGCAGCAGTGATGATGCAAGTTGGGTCTCTGCCAATTTGAGGAGACTAGGATTTTATTCTTAGCTCTGAGCTTTGGCCCTGATCCACTTCTTCCCCATGTGGGTATTTGGTGAGTGAACCAGGAGATGGCTCTCTCTCTCTCTCTCTCTCTCTCTCTCATTCTCACTATCTCTATCACCCTGTATCACAAATGAATTTTAAAAATGAATGTCATTAAACATTATTTTTAAAAGATAAATAAAAATCCTACATCGTCTGGTGAACTGAAGATGAAAAGAAACTCAGAGTGACCAGCAGGCATCTCTGACCTTTAGAAGTTGATCTTTTGGAGATCAACCATGATTCACAAAACATGCCTTAGCATCTCTGCTTGAGATATGAAAGAATGAAATGGATCTTGTTATTTGCCATCTCTTATTCACTTAAAAATGTCTCCTTTTGCTGTCTTAAACAGGCTTCCATCCTACATACCTTCAATAAAAGGTTCTTTCACAATATACAATCTGACAAACACGAATATACTTCTAGGGCAAGGAAGGAGGATATTTGATATCAGGACTGTTCAGGAAAAAGCTGGGCATAGATCAGCTAGATCATTGGAGAATAATCTACCTGGAGCACTGGATCAGCCTGTAGGTAGTATACTTGTGAAACAGGTATCCTAGCCAAACCTGGTCTGTGTGAAGGGTCTTGATGATGAGATTCCTAGCTGTTGTGTGGAGTGGGTAAAGGAGTACATTAATTTTTGAGGCCCGATTTAATAGCATCAGGTTCTTCCTCTGAGCCTCCATGTCAACAAAATACATCCTCCCTTCAAGCTATTTGGGATAGGAAAGGGGCACCATCATTTTGTCTTTGTTGACGTCTGAAACTGGCTTCATGAACCGTGGTGTATCTAGAGAGGGGTATTGGGATTTCGAGGCCCTCTAAGAAAGAGGTTTCTGTGATATCTTTGATATCTGAGGAGTGAGAATAGGCAGTGACATTCTAGGCTTCAGCCGAGTGTGCAAGATTTCCTCGTTAGTGAAAGGGACCCATGCCGGTGGGGACAGTTGAGGAGTGATGGAAGCAAGGGCCATTCTCGGCCTCTTTCAAGTGTGCAGGACCCCCTCATTAGTGAAAGGGATCCATGATGATGGTGTCAGTTGAGGAGCGAGAGAAGCAGTGATGTTTTAGGCTTCTGCAGAGGGTTCAAGGTCCCCTCATTGGTGTAAGTGATGCATGATGTTGGCATGCTGTTTCTGGTGAAATGGCACTGAAGCTCCATGGGTGAAGAATCCTAGGGTGTTTGGGTTTCTGCAGAAGGCTTGCTGGCAATGAATGGAGTGACATCTCTCTTCCAACCTGGAGGACTGGGTTGGACCAATGGTTGATATTTCTGAGAAGCAATCCTTACCAGTCCTTTCTTCCTCTCACAAGAGGGCACACTTTTCTGGGGCATTCCAGCAGCTGATGGGGTCCATGATGTGGAGGGATGCCCGGAGCTGGGAGCGATCCATGATGGAGAAGCTTTGCCAGGAAAGGTTGGTGGTACCAGATGTTGCACAATGGAAGAAGGGGCCTGGAGAGAGGGGGGCTGCCCAGTGGAGACAGGAGGCTGGTGTGCCAGAGGCTGTGCAGAGGAGGGTCCAGACTCCAAGAGCTCTCCAGGGAAAGAAGATGGCCTGGAAGCCAAGAATTGGCCAGGAGAGAGAGGACCATGGAGACCTGGGCTCTTTGTAGAGATGGATGTTATTCTAGATTTTATAGGCCACCTGGGAGTGAGCAGAGCCTTCATTGCTGGAGGTGGCTGGGCAGTTTGAGGAAAGTCCTTCTTAGGCTTCGCAGCCTCCAACTCAAGGGGCTTCCCTGGAGTAGGAAGGGCCTTGTCAGCGGTAAGGTGGGCCCCCTAAGTCTGGGTGGGGTGAGGGGCCAGAGTGGTCCCCAGGGCCTGGGCCTGCTGGGGGTCCAGAGGGGTTCCCAGGGCCTGGGCCTTCTGAGGGGTCAGAGTGGTCCCCAGGGCCTGTGCCTGCTGGGGGGTCAGAGTGGTCTTCAGGGCCTCTGCCTGCTGGGTGGTCACAGTGGTATCCAGGGCCTGGGCCTGCTGGGGGGTCAGAGTGGTCCCCAGGGCCTCTGCCTGCTGGATGGTCAGTTGGTACCCAGGGTCTGGGCCTGCTGGGTGATCAGAGTGGTCATCAGGGCCTGGGTTTTCAGAGGAGTGAGAGTTTTGTACTTTGGGTGGGGCTGTGGGTAAACGGGAGGTGCTCCAGGTTGTGAGGACTTGGTGAAGGGGGGAGCTGCATTTGTGTTCAGCTCCAGCTGTGTCTCTGTCTTCAGGCCCTGGCTCAGCTTCTCCAGGACCACCTCTTGCTGCTTCATTGATCCCAGTATCTTCATGTCAGCAGTAGCTTCCAAAGGCCCAGGACCCATTTGTTGATGGTCTTCATGTGGATGGTATTGTTGTCCCAGCAAGTCTGGGGTCAGTACAGCTGGGGCTTTAAGTAAAAGTGAAGAGCCCCACTTTATCTCGGAGGATTTGATCTTTTTTATTTGAGACTTATATAAAGTATTTTCCAATTCCTTGGCTAAAATATTGTCTATACTGTCTGGTGTGTCCCCAGCCTTGGTATTGGTCCTGGATGTGGGCACTGATGTATATTCTTGCTGGCCTGCAAGACCTGTGGTTTGAATTAGCTGTTCATAGTTTTCTTCTTTCTCTTGCAGTTTTTGTTGAAGCAGCTTGTTTTGCTCACTGAGGTCAGAGATCATCCTTCTGGAGAGCTCTTTTTCTGTTTCATACTTCTCAAAAAACATGCTGCCACTTACAATGTTAGAAACATTGACTTGTTCACACACAGCACTCAAGCCTTTGGAAAGATTTAATATAGTTGCTGAGATATATTTGATTGCAGTGTTTTCCATTTTGTTGAACATTGAAGAACATATGAGTTCTTGTAACATACATTGAATTTCCAAAACCTTGGTGTTGGTTGTAAATTGATCAGCAATCATTTGATCTGGTCTTAGTGCAAGGGCTGTTGCAGGTCGCTTTATAAATCTGTGTTTCCATGTTTTCCATAGAGCACCTCTAGATACTGGAAGGAAAAAAAGGAAAACAAAACAAAACAATGAGATCGCATTGCTTCTTTTGTGCTGTGCTCTGTGTCTAATTAATTTAGCCCAAATGGACAGGTAACCATCCATTGAAGATTAGTCAGAAAACTTTAACTATGATGCTGGCCTTGTGCCATACCAGATTAATCCACAACTTATGACCCTGTCATCCCATGTTGGAGAGCTCACTGGAGTCCCAGATGCCCTGCTTCTGATCCATCTCCCTGCTAATGTGCCTAGGAGGATAGTGGGGGAGGGCCTATTTCCCAGCCTTTGTCACCCACATGGGGATAAACTAGATGGAGTTCCAAGCTTCTGACTTCACCCTGGCCTAGCCAACTGGGAAGTGAACCAGTAGATGGAAGATCTCGTTCTCTCTGTGTCTCCTTCTGTCTCTGTCACTCTGCCTTTCAAGTAAGTAAATCTTTGAAAAAAGAAAAACAGAGAGAAATCTGTAGCTCTACAAGTTTTGGTTTTAGAATCATGTTTTCTTACAATCACCCAGAGTTGCTTCCAGAGTTAAGGAGATGATCTCAGTTGTGACATCATTAACTCACTTTTACTTCAACTTTGGGATTAGATAGAATGCAAATCCAACTTTCCCCTGAGTTTGGCTATGCTTGATGTGTTCAGTTTTCTTGTTTGGTTCCCATCTCCCTTTTCTACCTTTTCTTACTGTAAGAAACTTTGATGCTTTCAAAAGGGCCATAAATCAATAGACAGAAAATATATTGAATGGCTGAAGGAGAAACTCAGCAACTTTCCTCCCACAACCAATGACTGAAGTGTCTGGGTCCCTACTGCCCACGTGGAACACCTGGATTGTCAGACATGTATGAAATGCAAAAGTCCCACAAGATCCAACTACAGGTAACACACCTTGGATTCAAAGAGACAAAGAGGTCAGAAGTAAAGTGATAGAAAAAAGATACACTTTGAATATGTGGGAGCTGCAGATTACATAATATCTGACAAAACAGGTATCAGCACAGCAACAATGGTTCTAGAGACAGCAAGGGTCAATATATCAGCAAGCTGTAATGATTATAAACATACAGCACACAGCCAAGCCCCCAAATACACAAAGACTGACGCAATTTAAGGGAGAAGTAGATAACAGTCATAGTGTGGAGGAATTCAATTTCTCACTGTCAATAGTGGGTGAAACATGGGCCTGTGTTGGGGCCCTCTGATTGGATTTCAGAGCTCTTGAAAGGTACTGAGAATCATTTAACATGTGGAGTTTTATGGTCTATAAATGATACTTCCACCAACCTGCATTTTGAGAAAAAAAAGAAAACTCCATTTGCAAAGTCACAAAACACAATTACCTGTTTTGTTCTTCTGTGTCTTCTTATCATTAAGGAAAGTGGTGCTGATGCTACATAGTTGACATTGTTCTCAATGGCTCCCAGTGTTTCTGGAAACATCTCCATTTGTACTATCCAGTGGTAGTGTTCTTCAACATCAAATGCAGTTATGTCAGACAAAATAACATCTTGAAGAGAGGAAAAACATTATTTTGTGCTTACAAATAGATAAGCATAACCATATAGCTTTATAACATCAGGTAACTACTAAATAAATTGTATTCAGGAGTATAATCATGGCTATCATGCATTTACTGCTATTCAGAGGCTTTTCTCAATGAAACAGGTAAAGATTTGGAGGAAGAAAGCTCAGTGATAAGTCTTATGAATCAAGTTTTTGAAAGGTATCTGTTTGGATTTGTTCTTCAACTCCAAGGAAGTCAGTGTCCAAAATAGAAATAGATGCTTTTATGTTGGGTGTCTAAATGTAAATTGACCTGTTTGGGCAGTTTTCTAGTGTTTCCTAACCCCCATTACATGGAATTTCTTGTAAGGAGATGAAATATTTTAAACAAATGGTGAAGGGCCCAGCATTGTGGTGTGGATTGCAGGATTCTCCTGATTCTAATATCAGAGTGCCAGTTTGGGCCTCAGCTGATCTGCTTGTAATCTCTCCTCTTGTGAATGTGCCTCGAAATGCAGCAGAATATGGACAAAGTACTTGGGCCCATGCCACCAGTATGTGAGACAGGGTGGGGTTCCAGGCTCTTAGCTATAGCCTGGAACATCCTGGGCCATTGTAACCATTTGGAGAATGAATCAGTGAATGAATCGTCTATCTGTCTTCTGTCTATCCATCTGTCTATCTATATATCCCTGTTTATCTCTCTCCTTCTCCAATCTTGCACCCTGCTAATGTGCCTGGGAAATGGCCCAAGCTCTTGGGACCCTACCACCCACATGGGAGACCTAGAAGAAGCTCCTGGCTCCTGGCTTCAGACCAGCCCAGTTCTGGCCATTGGAGCCACTTTGGGAATGAATCACAGATGGGAAATATTTTCTGTCTCTCTCTGTCTCTGTCACTTTGTAAACATTGGCAGGGTCAGCTAGAAACAGTAAGGTAGATGTTACTGTTTTTTCAAAGACTTAATTATTTATTCAATTGTCGGAGTCACACACACACACACACACACACACACACATGTTGGAGCTGAGTGTTCCTGAAATCTCTAATGCCTTCTTGCAGAGATGCACAGACTACACATCTGCACCCTCACTGGCTCCAGACCACTGCAACCCATGCAGGCAATGCCCTTTTACTCTTCTGTCCATAGAAAATATGTATCCAACAGAATTACAACAGAAGTGAAGTCTCAAAAAAGTGACTGCTCCACCAGTTGTATAGACATTATTGCTTTACAGAAACATAACCAAGGCCTAGCATTATGCTACAGTAGCTTAAGCCACTACTTAAAGTGCAGACATCACATATTGGGGTGGCAGGTTGGTTTGAGTCCCAGCTGTTCTGCTTCTGATCCAGTTTTCTCCTAATGTGCCTGGGGAGGCAATGGAGGATCTCCTGTAACCCCTGTTGGCAATCCAGATGGAATTCCAGGCCCCTGGCCTGCCCCATCCCTGGTTTTTGTGGCCATTTGGAGAGTGAAGCAGCAGATGGGAGATCTCTCTCTCTCTCTCTCTCTCTCCCCCCCCTCTTCTCTCTCCTATCTATAACTTTATCTTTCAAATAAATAAATAAATCTTTTTAAAAACAGAATATGAAAAATAAGATGATAAAGACAATTCTGAAAACAGCAAAAGACAAGGAGCATCTAACATGCAAGGACATTTGATAAGACTACCAATGGATTTCTGAACAGAAATAATACAGATCAAGGTACAATGGCATGATATGTTCCAAGTATTGAGGGACAATCACTGCCCACAAAATATTTACTTGCAAAGCTGTCCTTGAAAATTAGAGTTAAAGACTCTCCTAGGAAAACAGAAGCTGTGACATGAACCATAACCCTTAGCCCCTAACCTCAACCACTTCCTTTACAAATTGTCCAAAAATCCACAGTCAGGTTTAGCCTACCAGTTAGCTCATGCTACATCATGAAACTGCCTTACAATAAATTCTAAAAGTAGTTCTTCATCAGAGAGTCAAGTATACTGATTAGTAACATGAAAGTATAAAACTCACTTATGAAACTGCGTACACAGTAAGATCAGTATGCTTTAATGCTATAATGGTGGAGTGAAAATCATTTATGTCTTTAAAGATGAAAGGCAAAGCTATTCAAAATAATAATGTCTGTGACAATTTGTTAAGGGAAACACAATATCAAAAGATGTAAATTGACCTCAAAAACAATGTAGAAGGGAAAGTAAACTGTAGAATTTTTTCTAATGTGGTTAAAGTTCAGTTGTTATCACCTTAGTATAGCCAGTTTTACTGTAAGGTGTTCTATGTAAGTCTCACAATGCAAAAACTATAGTAGGTAAGGTGTTTAAATTTGCCCAAGTAGTGAAACCAATAAGATACAGCTGCTTGCCACAGGGGATAGCTTACAATTATCCATTATCATTCTCCTAAATCCATATATGTCTCACTCTCAAGTCAAACAGGCAAGTTGAATGAGGATATGATGAAAATCACCACTGATGTACCTTTGTGTTAGACTTACTTGTTTGGTTGAAAGGCAGGGCCATGGAGAGAAAGAGGAAGAGAGAGAGATCTTCAATCCACTGATAGAGCTTCTGTCCACTGATTTCCAAAAGGCACAACAGCTAGGGAAAGGCCAGGATGAAGCGAGGAAAAGGAACTTCATCTGGGAAAAAGCAGTGATGTCTCTTCTCTGTTTACTCAAATCTATAGTGATGGTCCTAGCTCCCTCAACTGTGAGCCCAAGTAACCCTCTTTGCCCAAATAACCCTCTTTGCTTTGTAAAGACTGCCTGCCTCAGACATTTATGATAATGGAAAGCTGAATCATACTTAAAGCTTAATACGAAATGGATGGTAGACATGCATGTAAAATCGCAAAGTGTGAAACTCCTAGAACATAGGAGGAAAAGTTTGGGACTTTTGGTCAGGCAAAATTTGCATGTGTGCCACACCAGAAACCTGATGCAGAAAACAAAATGAAAAATTGGGTTTAGAAGTTCTGTTCTTTGAAACACACTATTATTAGAATGAAAAGAGAAACCAGTGAAGGGGAGAAAATATTTATAAATCATCCAATAAGAAGCTGCATTCAGACTAAATTCTCCAGACTGAATGATAAGACTATATACCACTCAGTCACTTAGTTTTTTAAAAAATGTGGGCAAAATATTTAACCACCCAAAAAGACATACCCAGTGCAGATAACCCCATGGGAAGCATCTCAGCATCATCTATATGAAAGTGCAAATGGATACAATTATATCACTTTTGAGTGGATGATAGTTAAAAGATTGACCACAAAAAGTGTTGATGAAGGTGAAGAGCAACTGAAACTCATATATTTCTGATGGGAATGTAAAGCAGGATGACCACATTTCAAAGAGTTTGATGGGTGTTTTAAAGACATCAATTTGTTTGAAAGGCAGAATTTCAGAGGAGAGAGAGGAAGGGAGAGGGAGAGAGGGAGAGAGAAAGAGTGCTCTCTGAAGTCTGGGCCAGGCTGAAGCCAGGGGCCAGGAACTCCATGCTGGCTCCCTACATGGGTGGCAGGGCCCAAGAACTCGGGCCATTCTCTGTTGCTTTCCCAGGCACATTAGTAGGAATTTAGATCAGAGGAAGAAAAGCCACCATATAAGATGCTGGCCTCCCAAGAGCAGCTTCACCCGCTGTGCCTTAGCTCGACCACAGGTGCTGTATTTCTTAACTGCTTGATTAATTCTGACAAGAAGAGATTGATACCAGGTTGGAGCTTTATTAATCAAAGAATCAGAGTCAAGTCACATCATTTGTAGTCTGTTACCACAAAGTCAAATGTCATGAAAACACAGTGAACTTTAAAAAGAACCTACCTGTCCTGGAAAGATTTTTAAAAGTGCAAGGGTGGGCATCTAGCATAAACACTTCAGACAGGTGTTGAGATGCCTGTACCCCATGGAGTGTCTGAGTTTGAGTCCTATTTCCACTCCCCATTACAGCTTCCTGCACAAGTGCACCCTGGGAGGCAGCAAGGGATGTCTCAAGTAGTTGGGTCCCTGTCACCCACCTGGAATACCTGGACTGAGTTCCTGGCTCCTGGCTTCAGCCTGACCAAGCTCCAGCTATTATTGGCACTTGGGGAATGAACCAGTGATATCTCTGTCTCTGTCTCTATCTCTCTATCTCTCTGAAATAGAAATAATTTTTTTAGTGCGCAGTCTGTATATTTCTGGTTCATTTCCTACCTCTCTAGCTCAAACGGCCTCTGCTCGTTCAATCTGAGAGATGATGTCCTGTACGGAGGCTGGGATTTCAAGCATCGGGGCCGCTGGAACATCTGCAGTGTTCCTGGGGTTTCCCCTCATGGTGGGGGATTGCTTGGCATTTTTTTCTAATTCAGATTCACCATCTTTCTCACTTGACATTTTGATAAAAATGTGGAGAAATTCAGTGATTTTAATCTTTTTCATGGAATCTAGGCAAATGCTAACAACAGTATCCACTAGGAAGCTAAGAAAATGGGTTTCCTGCTCCCACAGGTAGTGGCTAACCGTTCTAGGAACTGGTTGCTAAACATCGCCTCCCAGTCCTGGTGATGTCATAGGAGACCCACTGTGACATTCCCCACTGACTCACAGATTCTCTAATGGGGCCTTCCCATATAGGCCAGCTATTGTATATGCTGTGTGGGTAGCAAAGAATTGACACCAGGAACACTCAAAGAAGTAGGAGACTTAACCCTGCAGAAATGAGCTTAAAATGCATGATTAGAGTTCAGGATACAGTGTATTAAATGTAACTCTGTTCTCTCTTCCTAGGGTTTTGCTTAAATATCTTTTTAAAGATTTATTTCATTCCAAAGGAAGAATTCCTTGCAGAGGGTGGAAGACATAGATAGATCTCTTCCATCCGCTGGTTCACTCCCCAGTGACTGCAACAGCTGGAACTAGGCCGATCAGAAGTCAGGAGCCAGGAGCTTCTTCTAGGACTGCCACATGGGTATAGGGACCCAAGCACGTGGGCCATCTTCCACTGCTTTCCCAGGCACACTAGCAGGGAGCTGGATGGGAGGGGAACATCCAGGACTTGAACCAGTGCCTATATGGGATGCCAACATTACAGGCAGTGGCTTTACTTGCTATGCCACAGCACCAGCCCCCTTGCTTAAATATTTTTATGTCTGTGATGAAATAAGTGTTTAAACTTCCTCAGCAGTTCCTTAAATTTTCTTAGACAAGTAGAGGCTTGAAAAATATTATCTGGATGATGATAAAGATCACACTCCCTGCTGTTCCATCTGCTGGTTCACTTTCCAAATGTCCCCAAGATCTGGGGCTGGACTAGACTCAAGAGAGTAGCTGAGAATTCAATATGCATCTCCCTTACTGAATTAGGCACCAGAGTACTTAAGCCAAGCTGTCCCCTGCCTCCCAGGATGCACATTAGCAGAAAGCTGGAATTCAGAAGCAGAGCCAGTATTAGAACCCAGATTCTCCAATGTGGAATGGCATCTTAACCACTGAATCAAGTGCCCACCCCAAGGGGCTATCATTTTTAAGTGATGATAACCAAAAACTGGAATTTGTGGTCTTGGCTATAATCCTCATGACTGATGTATTCCTTGTGAGGTGCTATTGGTAGAATGACCTTGATGTGGGATAAAGAAGATGTGATTTCAGGCAACTGTCCCTTAGTGTGAGGAAAAATGTGGAAGTATCAACAATTTATCAATAATTTATCTTTTTGGTGTAGCTTTCACATGATCATACACCGTTAAAAGTGAATTTATATATATATATTTTAAATAAATTTCCAAAGTACAGCTTATGGATTACAATGGATTTTCCCCCCATAACTTCCCTCCCACTGGCAACCCTCTCCTCTCCCACTCTCTCTCTCCATCCATTCACATCAAGATTCATTTTCAATTCTCTTTATATACAGAAGATCAATTTAGCATATATTAAGTAAAGCTTTCAACGGTTTGCACCCACACAGAACCCCAAAGTGTAAAATACTGTTTGAATACTGGTTATAGCATTAAATCACAATGTACAACACATTTACGATAGAGATCCTACATGAGGAGTAAGTGCACAGTGACTCCTGTTGTTGACTTAACAAATTGACACTCTTGTTTATGGTGTCAGTAACAACCCTAGGCTCTTGTCATGAGTTGCCAAGGCTATGGAGGCCTTTTGAGTTCACCAACTCTGATCATATTTAGACAAGGTCATAGTCTAAGTGGAAGTTCTTTCCTCCATTCGGGGAAAGGTACCTCCTTCTTTGATGACCTGTTCTTTCCACTGGGATCTCACTCACAGAGATCTTTCATTTAGGTCTTCTTTTTTTCCCAGAGTGTCTTGGCTTTCCATGCCTGAAATACTCTCATGGGCTTTTCAGCCGGATCTGAATGCCTTAAGTGCTGATTCTGAGGCCAGAGTGCTATTTAGGACATCTGCCATTCTATGAGTCTGTTGTGTATCCGCTTCCCATGTTGGATCATTCTCTCCCTTTTTTATTCTATCAGTATTTGCAGACACTAGACTTGTTTATGTGATCCCTTTGACTCTTAGTCCTATCATTATAATCAATTGTGAACAGAAATTGATCACTTGGACTAGTGAGATGTCATTGGTACATGCCAACTTGATGGGATCGGATTGGAATCCCCTGGCACGTTTCTAACTCTACCATTTGGGGCAAGTCCGATTGAGCATGTCCCAAACTGTACATCACTTCCCTTTCTTATTGACACATTACATTTAACAGGGATCACTTTTCAGTTAAGTTTCAACACTTAAGAATAACTGTGTATTAATTACAGAGTTCAACCAATATTATTAAGTAGAACAAAAAAATACTACAAGGTATAAAGTAGGAAGTTGTTCATCAACAGTCAAGTCAAGGACTGATCAAGTCATTGTTTCTCATAGTGTCCATTTCACTTCAACAGGTTTCCTTTTTGGTGCTCGGTTAGTTGTCACCGATCAGGGAGAACATATGATATTTGTCCATCTGGGACTGGCTTATTTCACTCAGCATGATGTTTTCCAGATTCCTCCATTTTGTTGCAAATGTCCAGATTTCATTGTTTTTTTTACTGCTGTATAGTATTCTATAGAGTACATATCCAATAATTTCTGTACCCAGTCTTCTGTTAATGGGCATTTAGGTTGATTCCAGGTCTTAGCTATTGTGAATTGAGCTGCAATAAATGTTGACATTTAGACAGCTCTTTTATTTGCCAATTTAATTTCCTTTGGGTAAATTACAAGGAGTGGGAAGGCTGGGTTGTATGGTAGGGTTATATTCAGGTTTCTGAGGAATCGCCAGACTGACTTCCATAGTGGCTTTACAAGTCTACATTCTCACCAACAGTGGATTAGTGTCCCTTTTTCCCCACATCCTCACCAGCATCTCTTGTTGGTAGATTTCTGTATGTGAGCCATTCTAACCGGGGTGGGGTCAAACCTTATTGTGGCTTTGATTTGCATTTCCCTGATGGCTACTGATGCTGAACATTTTTTCATGTGTCTGTTGGCCCTTTGGATTTCCTCTTTTGAAAAATGTCTATTGAGGTCCTTGGGTTGTTTGTTTTGTTGTTGTGGAGTTTCTTGATCTCTTTGTAGATTCTGGTTATTAATTCTTTATCAGTTGCATAGTTTGCAAATATTTTTCCCATTCTGTTGGTTGCCTCTTCACTTTCCTGTTTCTTTTGCAGTACAGAACCTTCTCAATTTGATGCAATCCCAATAGTTAATTTTGGCTTTGACTGCCTGTGCCTCTGAGGTCTTTTCCAAGAAATCTTTTCTAGTGCCTATATCTTATCAGGAAGCTGAATCAGAAGCATAGAGCCAGTACGTGAACCATGTACTCTGCTATGGGCTACAAGAACCCTAAAGAATGGCCAGCTAACAGAATCCTAAAGATCTTATAACTCAGTCTGCACATGACAGAGGATAACTGAAGAACCTTTCTAGGGCAGTGAAAGCCATTCATGTGGCTGATGGATCTAAGGGGGAATAAAGCTTCATGCACATCTGTAAGCTAGAACAAAGGGCATGCACCTAACTCCTGAAGGAATATAAAGGTGGTAGTGAAATTACTACTGCAGGGTTTCCCGTTGTCCTAAAGGACACTCTGCCTTGGTGGAACACTATAACTCCAGTTAACTAAGGGAAAGCTGTGGGTTTTGTAATTGAAAGTGGATTCACTGACCTTTTTAACAGTAAAAACCAATAGGGCAAAGGAAATGTGAATTTTGTAGGGGTTGGGTGGGCATTCAGCCTAGCAGTTAAATATTCACATCTCACCCCACTGTGTCCCTGGGTTCAATAGCTGGCTCTGAGTCTGGATCTTGACACCATCTTCCTGCTAATGTGAACCCTGGGAGGCTCTGGTGATGGCTCAAGTAATTTGGTTCCTGCTCACCATGTGGGACACTTGGTTTGACTTCTTGGCTCCCAGTTTTGGCCTGGCCCAGTCCCAACTATAGAAGGGAACTCTCTCCGCCTGTCTCTGTCTCCCAAATAAGTAAAATTACAAAAAGAAACGTTTGTGGGAGACTCAAAATGTCTAATCTAGAATTGTTTGAAGAACATTACATGAACAAGGTTAAACCACATGAAAATATATTACTCAGATTTGGTTATGGAAATCAGGCAGATTTTGATTTAAATGTCTAATTTTGAACCTCTCTGAGATGCAAATGGGATGTCTCTACTAGGAATGCAATGATATTTGCTTCAACAAAGAGTAGAGAGGATTGGTGTATAATTTCTAGTGCTTGATCTGACTCTTAGTAGATATTCAGTAAATGCAAATCATTATAAATGTAAAGCAGATAAAAAAAACCATTCTTTACAATGGGGGCAATATGTTATCAATACAAATGGCATTGGCTAAGAGAGTGGAAACAAAAGGTTAGGAGGATGAATAGCCTTGCTTCTCTCTGCTGGGACTTTTAAATACAGAGCTAATTCCCATGGTTCTCCCTAGGCTGAGTATCAGTATTTCAGAATGAATTATCTCTAAATATACATGAAACATACCTAAAATGAAATGGAAAAAATGTAACCAAGTAGTGAAATATTATATCAAAAGGGAAAAATGATGGGGGGAGAGATCTCAAAAGAACACATATGTAGTAAATAGAAAATGATAGGGCCAGCGCCATGCCTCAATAGGCTAATCCTCTGCCTGTAGAGCTGGCACACTGGGTTCCAGTCCCAGACGGGGCACTGGATTCTGTCCCAGTCGCTCCTCTTCCTGTCCAGCTCTCTGCTGTGACCTGGGAGTACAGTGTAGGATGGCCCAAGTCCTTGGGCCCTGAACCCACATGGGAGACCAGGAGAAGCACCTGGCTCCTGGCTTCGGATCAGCGCAGTGCACTGGCCGCAGCGGCCATTGGGGGTTGAACCAACGGAAAAGGAAGACCTTTCTCTCTGTCTCTCTCTCTCACTGTAGACTCTGCCAGTCAAAAAAAAAAAAAAAAAGAAGAAGAAAGAAAAGAAAATGACAGAAAACATGTGGTATGAAAAAGAGGCTTATGGGAAAAATAAAAGTTAATACATATTAGTATTATATGATCCATATATACATCAGGTTTCAGAGTATTAATTATATCTACTCATAAAAGAGACCTAAAAGCAAAGAAAGCAAAGTTATTCTCTCTAGGAAGAAAAGGAAGGGAGGGAGGAAGAAAGAAGAAAAAAATTTTTATTTTTAATTTAAAAATTTGTATTTAAAAAATCTTTTTAAAATATTTCACATACACAGATTTTGGATCATAGCAATACTTCCCACTCTACCATGCCTCCTCCTTCTTGATCAGTCCTTCCTTTAATTTTCATAATGATCTACTCTCACTCTATCTCATACTCATAAGATTAACCCTACACTAAGTACAACACTCAACAAATCGAAGAAACAATCACTGTACCTCAACAGTAGAGACAAGGGTCATAAATAATCACTGCATCTCAAAATGTCAATTTCACTCATATACATTATATTTTTGATACTCTATTAGTTACCATAGTTCAGGGAAAGCATACAGTATTTATCACTTTGGGACTGGCTTATTTTACTAAGTATAATGGTTTCCAGTTGCATCCATTTTGTTGCAAAAGAAAGGATTCATTCTTTTTTATGGCTGAGTAGCATTCCATAGAAAGGCAACTTTTCAAACAGAATTTTGGGTAAATTGTATGGATTCACCTGAGAGAATATATCAACACACACACACACACACAAAGATAGGTAGGTACTTCATAAAGTCACAGCAAATAGTTATAACCTTATTCAGGTGCAAAAAAATTTCTAAAGTTCATTCATATGACTCCTAAAAAGTTCATGGAAAATGATGCATAATATGAAAAAAGTAGTCATGGACTTCTAAATGTATATATACTGAGGAAAATAATCTCTATTACCCAAAAAACATTCCAAACTCTTTAAAATACCTGTGAAGATGGGGCTGGTGCTGTGGTGCAGTGGGTTAATGCCCTAGCCTGAAGCACCTGCATCCCATATGGGCTCTGGTTCTAGTCCCGACTGCTCCTCTTCCGATCCAGCTCTCTGCTATGGGCTGGGAAAGCAGTAGAAGATGGCCCAAGTCCTTGAGCCCCTGAACCCACATGGGAGACCCAGAGGAGGCTCCTGACTCCTGGCTTTGGATCCACATAGTTCTGGTCATTGTGGCCAACTGGACAGTGAACCAGCAGATGGAAGACCTCTCTCTCTCTCTCTGCTTCTCCTCTCTCTGTGTAACTCTGACCCTCAATAAATAAGTAAATCATTTAAAAAACCTATGAAAATCTTCCATAACCCAGCCATTTTTGTTCCATTCTCTCACTACATCTTGACACATTTTCTCATATCTCTGTGTTCTCCCAGACTACTCACCACCCCCAATGTAACTGTCATTTTCAGCTTGTTGGTAGTATTCTCTAGTTTTACAGATTCTATTTATTTATTTATTTTAGAGGTAGAGTAACAGATAGTGAGAGGAAGAGATGAGATAAAGGTCTTCCTTCTGTAGGTTCACTCCCCAAATGGCCGCAATGGCCAGAGCTGCCCAATCTGAAGCCAGGAACCTGGTGCTTCTTCCTGGTCTCCTATGTGGGTGCTAAGGACCAAGCGCTTGGGCCATCTTCTACTGCTTGCCCAGGCAACCTGAAACTCTTCATCCTCTTCTTCCCATGCTGGTGGTTAGCATAATGGTTTTCAAATTTTAGTAAAAGAAAATTTACCTGAGGTTTTGTTGAAACTGGAGATTCCAAAAGACTATCAGCAAGATAGTGACTCAAAAGGTCTGGGGAAGCACCCTGGAATCCGTACTTCCAACAAGCACCCCAATGATGCAGTCCAGGTGCCCAGGGTCCACACTTTGGGAAACACCCATGTTGCTTTATGGAGAGAGAGAGAGAGTATAACTTTAGAAAAAATGCTGAATTTGGCTCAGATTCCTTTTTTTCTCTCCTGTAGAAATGAGAATGGCAAAACTTGAGAGATTTTAAATCTTCAAGATTTACTTAGTACATTCCTAAAAATCTTCATCGCATGAGCATTTGGCACATTGGTTAAGATGCACAATGGTGTGGGTCCATTCTACACACATGGGAGACCTAGTAAGAGTTCCTGACAATGGTTTTGGCATGCGACAGCTCTGGATGCTACTGGCATTTGGGGAGTCAACCAGTGGATGGAAGTGCTTTCTGCCTTTCAATTAAAATGAAATTTAAAAGACTTTAAAGCTTTCCTTATTACTCTTGTATTAATTATGCTTTCTTTTTGCTCACAGGGCCTTGTTTTCTTTTTGTTTAGCATTTATTCATTGTATTTTTGACACAGCTAATTGATCAATCACTATTTTCATTTATAAGTGCTTTGGCACTCTGGCCTCAGAATCAGCCCTTAAGGCATTCAGATCTGGCTAAAAAGCCCATCAGAGTATCTCAGGCATGGAAAGCCAAGACACTATAGCAAAAAGTGACCTAAATGAAAGATCTCTGTGAGTGAGATCCCCATGGAATGAAGGGGCCATCAAAGAAGGGGGTACCTTTCTCTGAAGGGAGGAGTGAACTCCCACTTTGATTATGGCCTTGTCTAAATAAGGTCAGAGTTTGTGAACTCAAGAGACTTCCACAGCCTTGGCAACTCATGACAAGTGCCTCGAGTGATACTGATATCATAAATAAGGGTGCCAATTTTTAAATCAACAACAGAAGTCACTGTGCACTTGCTCCACATGTAGGGACCCTGTCCTTAGTGTTGTACTAGGAGAAGTAAGGGTAAAACTAGTCTTCACACAGTACTTTATACTTTATGTGTCTGTGTGGGTGCAAACTGTGGAAATCTTTACTGAGTATACAGCTGATCTTCTGTATATAAAGAAAATTAAAAATGAATCTTAATGAAGAATTGGATGGGAGAGGCAGTAGCAGATGGGATGGTTTGTGGGTGGGAGGGCGGTTAAGGGGAAAGAACTGCTATAATCCAAAAGTTGTACTTTTGAAATTTATATTTATTAAATAAAAGTTTTCTATTAAAAATGTGAGTGCTTTTGATGATTGGACATTGTCTTTTAATAATTGTATTAAGTACTTGCTACATGTCTTACACATCAGTTTTTTTAAATGGAGAATTGTGCCCATTGAGACAATTTTTTAAATATACATGTATTTAAACATTTTTACATATTGAAATGACAAGCAATGCTTTTGAATGCTAAGAAACTGAATTGTTAATGAAAATTCAGTTGCCATTTCAGATGTCCGAAACAGCACTCTGGCTTCAGAATCAGCCCTTAAGGCATGCTGATCTAGGTGAAAAGCCCATGAGAGTATTTCAGGCATGGAAAGCCAAGACACTCTGGCAAAAACAAAACAAAACAAA